AGGACCCACAGGATGTGAAGAATGCTTGCATTACATCTGGAAAACTGTCATATGAAAAGCTCCTGCAGATACTCATTTCAACTCCAGATTTGAAATAATATTTTCACAGCCTAAGGTTCCCTTTGGAACGACCTCCCCGTGGAGATCCGGACCCTTATTACCCTCCCGGCCTTCCGCAAAGCCACCAAGTCCTGGCTGTTCCAGCAGGCCCGGGGGGCTTGTGAAATATCCAGCCCCACGGTAACTGTGAATGTTGTATATCTTAAAGTGTTGTTTTGTTTATTTATCCCCTTACCTTGTTTATTGTAAGCCGCCCAGAGTCCTTCGGGAGTGGGCGGCATACAAGATCAATAAACTAAACTAAACTAAACTAAACTGTGCAGATGATACCCAAGTTAGACATCTCTATCTCAGACTAAATAAAGGATATATTATAGTGGAATTCATGATCAAAATCAATCTAAGCAAGACAGAGTGGCTTTACATTTAGAATCCTATTCCGGGATTATTCTGGGATCATTCTAACACATGGGATGGTGTTCCCCCGTGTAGACCTGCAATTTAGGAATCCTCTTTGGCTCATAGAAAGCAGTGGTCAGCAGGAACTTTGGCCAGGTTTAGGTTAGGTTGGTGCTCCAACCGTACTATTATGTGGAACAGGAAACACTAAAAGTGATTACACATGTCCTTCAAACCTTCCTTATGGATTTCTGTAGTTTGCTTGATATTGGCAAGCCCTAGGAGGCCACTTAGAAGCTTCAAATGCTGCAAAGAGCATAATCCATATATTTACTGAAAATACTTCTTAGATAATCCCATTGCTGCAGGAACTGCATTGACACCAAAATGTTTCTGGCTCAACTTCAAGGTGCTTATTATCACTTAACAAAACTTTCTATGGCTCAGTGCCTAGATATCACTGAAACACCCTTCTCTCTATTAGATTCTATTTGCTTAATCTGAGGCATAAAATTAGCTGTTTTGGAAAGCTGTTGAAATTTGACCACTGTAGAACTCCTGATGCTGATAATGTCTAACTGGCAGTTCAACAACCAAAGTCTAACATTCCATCATTAAAAAAACTATTATTTAATAATATTCCAGTTTTATGCATAGTCAGAAGCAAATCCCATACGTTCAGTGAAATCTTTTTCTTTGGTAACTTGATATTTAGATGAACATAAATCACAGAAGTTCAGGATAATTCTGATATACAGTTTAACAGTCATGAGGAAAGAAATGAAATCTACAAAAATCAAGTTAAAACAGCAATGTTGTGAGTGGGGAACACACAAGGAGTCACATTCCAACAATTTTGTTTATTCACGATAAGAGCAGACTATAAACCAGCATCCAGTTTCCGGCCGACACCTCCTTTTAAGGGAAGCTTTCAGCCAATTAACCAATAACTTTAACATATATCCCGCTCTTGCCCGGCAGTAGGAAAAGCCTCTGCTCGTGCCTGTGTGGACATAACAGCTAACCTTTTTGCCATCGTGTGCCAAAAGTGGGGAGAGCATGGGGGGGGGTTGTGCACGGGCATGCCCACACCCATAATTCTATGTGCCCCCTACACACATGGACATGCAACTCCCACCCTCCCCCCGCTTTTGGCTCATGATTGACCCACTTTTCGCACTCCCCAGGCCCTCCTCAGACTTTCTAGGAGCCTGGGGAGGATGAAAATGGCCTCCCCCACCCCCCTGGAGGCCCTCAGGAGGCTTCCCTGAAGCCTCCGGAGTGTGAAAAATAGCCCTACTGGCAACTCGGAAGTCCATTCCCAAACTTCCGGGTTGCCCATAAGGCAGGTTTTCTCCCTCCTTCTGGAGGGCGAAAAATGGCCCAACACACAAACAGGAAGACCGTTCCCAAACTTCCGGTTTCACGTGGGTTGTTTTTTGCCCTCAGGAAAGCCTCCAGGAGGTGAAAAACAGCTAAAAATGAAGTCTGAAGTTAGCGCGCTGAAGCTGACAGGGCAACGCCTCGCATGCCCTAACAAATGGCTCCACGTGTCATCTGTGGCACGTATGCCATAGGTTCACCATCACGGGTCTATGCAATTCAGCAACATCCATGCCATTCTACCTTGAGAAAGCTTTTTGGTTAGTGAAAGAGGGATAGTTAAATCCAGATGGTATCTAGCTTTTGTGTAATAACTAAACAAATTGCTTGAGCGATGCAGATACTTAGTAACAAAGAGATAAATAATACTTCAGAAATATAACTCAAATGCTAAAATATTCAGCAATTTAAGAGACGATTGAACTAACATTCATGAAATGAGATACACACACACACAAACACACCCAAGACTTAAAGCAACTGGAGAATTCAAACTATCATTAGATTTTAGTACATTTAGTACATCTATAGTGTATCTGTGATCATTAATATTCACCATCAGTTTCTTTTTTTTAGAGAAAACATATTCTAATTGAAATGGCCTGACTAATTTATAAAGTATATTTCAGCTCCTTGGATTTCCAAGTAGCACTTGCAGACCAAATGTATAGGATAGGGTGCATACTTTTGTGTGCAAAACATGTGCACACTCATGCAGGTAGAGTCTAGTAAAACAAGACTTAGAATATGTTGGAAATTGTCCATATATGGAGAATTACTGTGTCTGGGTGGTTTTATACTTCTATTTAAAATGCATGAAGCTGATGACCATCCATTAGCACAAGTATGGATGTAATCAGTATGCAAACAATATCCAAGTTTATATCTGACCCTGGGCTGAAAAAGTGATATTGTCAATTTTGTCAAAGTACCAGGGGATTTTGACAGTAGAAATGAAGAAATTGAGTGCTTTGGGTTGAAAAGGCAGATCTGATTCCAGATAAATTTTAATTTGAATGGTATCATAGTGCCCTGAACAGAACTAGGGAAGTTTGCAGTTTAGGAATTTTCTTGGATTTGCAGCTCCTGCTTGAGGGATAGTAATAGCTGTGGCCAAGCGGTCATTGTGCAGCTTCTGCTTATATACCAGTTGCAATCTTTCCTGGAATAGAGTATGTTACTCACTATAACTCATATCTTAATCTCTTCTTTATTGGACTATGTTAAGGGAAGACCATTCTGAAGCTACATGTGATCCAAACTCTGATAGTTCAGATAGTTAAGGAGAACTTTGAGGCAACATAAAACATCTCTACTACAAGAACTGCATTAGTTACCAACACGCTTCTGGGTTCAAATTAAGGGTTTAGTTGCCATTTTTAATACCTTTTGGAGTCGGGACCTGCATCACCTTCTGAATATCTGACTGTCCAACATGATCTGATAGAACAGTTTCTCTTCATGTTACTTGAATTGCCATCTGTAGGAGGATGCAGAAGTTTGCCTTTTCAGTTACTGTTCCTTTCCTTTGATGTTTGAATGGCCTCCTCTTTCCTGGTTTTGGTTATTCTATTAAGCCTTGAGATGAAGTTATTGCAACTCTTCCTCTGTACGATGAGTCATTATTTGATCTTGATAGTTCAGTTTCTGCTTTTTATCTATGGTGAATTTGTATTTATGATTTTCAATTCAATTATTGATTATATTGTTGATTATTTATTTAGAATAGAGTAGAATAACAGTTGGAAGGGACCTTCTAGTCCAACCCCCTGTTTTGTGCTTGTTTTTAACCAAAGATACATGTTTAGGGAATTGTGTACCATTCAGATTGGTTTGATTACAGCAATTTATAAACAAATATATTTCCATGAGTACAATATAAAGAAAATACTTTTCCATTTGAAGTTGGAAAGATGTTTGTATGTATGTTAAATTTTGAAGGGGGAAAAACTATGGTGGATGTCCAATATAAATACTTTATTTTATAGCCTAGAAGACAGACCTGCTTGAACAGATTCTTCAAAAGTAATTGGTGTGATAGATTTTCTTCTAATAGTAGTTTCTCTGATGTATCTACTAATTATCAAAGTGAAAGGTCAGTATAAATTATTTTTTATCCAGAATTTTGTAATATTGTAAATACTAATATAGTTCCATTTGCTTTTGGGAGAAATTGTGCTTTCCTCCCAAACTTCCATGTGTTATTGTAGAGAGGTAACTAGAAAGCAAATATTTTAAAAATATGATTTCTGGAATTCTTTCCAACCCTTAATAATAGCTCTTCTTTGGTTCATGAGAACAGAAGGAAGGGAGTTTAGTTAGAAACATTTCAGATCAATGCCCAATTCCATTAGGAAAATGTGTTCGGTTTCTGTCCCCCGCCCCTCACTCCCCCTAAAGTTCCTAACCTGGTCTATTTTCAGATTCACTTTTTCTTTTGCCAGACAGCTTCTCCCTGTCTCCCTGTCAAATTTGTTCTGTTTTGTTTTTAGATAATTATCCTGCTTGCTGTCTAACAGTCTATTGGGTTACAGAAATAAACTTGGTGTATGGACTTTAATATTAGAATACATGATTTGGGTGCTTGGCAACATTGTGCACATTTATGACAGTTGTCACATCCTTCATAGCTAACTTCCATCAATCAAAGTCAGTGGGAAAATCAGTAGGGAGTCACAGGTTTTAGTCACATGATATTGTGCTTAAGACCACAGATGATTCATTTAATAGCTACAGAAGAACTGACATTGAGTGACAAGTTAGGTGTAGTCACATGTTTCACTTAACAACCACATTGTTTAGCAATGGAGTTGCAGCCCAGATGTATTTGTTAAGTAAGGACTACGCTGTAAATGTAAGCTTGTAAAACCATAATGGGATTTTAGTAGGGCAGAACCTGACAGTAAGAAGCTATAAGATATAAAAAGAAAAAAGACATTGTGTATTCTTGGTTAGAGGCAATAGCCAATTTTGGGCTGTAAGTTGTATATAGTCTTACACAGCATGCACTCAAAAGTAGGCATGATTAGAAAAAGTGGACAGATCTAATGATGGAAGGGCAGATGTAACTAGAGAGGAAAAAGAATAGCATTCCTATTAATCACATGAAGAAATGAAATATTCTGTCTTCAGTAGTGCCTGAAGTCAGAAGAACGGCATTAAAGTCATAATAAACAGTTACATGAATTGCCCAATGTTGTCTTTTAAACTTAGAAAATAAGGTATTCTAAACCAGAATATTTAACTTGTACATTCTAACATTTTTTTAATGAAGTGAAATTCTGGAAAAAATGAAGGCATTCACAACCTCAATTGGTACTGGTAACTCCATCACTAAGATACATGATTATATAGTGAAAAAGTACCAATTTACAACAGCAGTTCCAATTAAGCAAATTACACACATGAAGATAACATCACATGATCACAACTTAGAAGTTCCTGTTGGCTTCCCCTTGATTTCAATTGTTGGAAGCTAGCAGAGAAGATTGCAGATTGTGATCATGTGATTGCAGGACGCTGCAACTATCATATTTAGGGCCAGTTACCAAGAATTGCCAAATTGGTTGCAACTTCAAGAACTAGCCATACATTTTCTCATTTAACACCATTGTAACTTTGAATAGTTGCTGAACGTGCAGTTCCCAAGAAAAACTAGCTACATTTTGGATATTTTATTTTTTAAATAATTGAAAGGTTCAGTGGACAAAAGAATGGCATGTCCTTATGTACACTGAACCGTAGTGCCCTGGTTTCCAAACTACAAAGCCAGAGCCCCCCAGTGAACATCCAACAGCAATGCATATTATTTTAGTACTTAATAAGTAGAATTGTTCATTTGCTGCCTTAGAACATAGTTTGGGAATCACTAGGAGGGCCATGAAAAAAATACTGAGGCATTTAAAATATTATGAACTAGGAAAGTTTGAGAATCTCTGGCTTATTGTTACTTTAGCATATGGTTGGTATATAATGCTCTCAACATATTGATAGGATTATTGAGAAAGTAATACTATAGGTTATCTTGATTTTTGATATGTGGTATTAAAATATACTTTAAAATGAAGTGCCTGTAATTATTTTAAATTATTTGAATTATAATTTGAATTTTTTTCAAATGTTTCCAATTATTCCAGTATAGAGATCAGCAAAATTGACACAATTATCAGACACAAGAGAAGAGAATTGGAGCTGTCTTGTTCTGTATTAGCAAGAGTGGCAAGGTAAAATAGATACCTGGTTAGAAACTTGTTATTAAAAAATGTTTGAATTAGTAATAAATCTATACCATCTGGTACCAATATCTTAAATCAAGTAATATTTGGATTTCCTCCATTTTTAAAGCAGTGCTTTCGGAAATATTTGACTTTGATTAAGTATGATTCATTCCCACCCAAAAAACCAGCCATGGTTAACATTAATTAGGATTAATTTCAGAAGAAACAAACTTTTTTAATTTCAAAAGAAGCAAGAATCTTTCATATACACATTTTTTCCATATACGTACAGACTATTTTTGTTCTTTTTCATTTTTCTTTTCAGTCTCTATGAATGAGATCTGTGTTGTTGTGTTTTTGGTTTATAACCATACAGCAAATTAAATCAATAAGTCAGAACCAAAGCATGAGGAAATTACATGAATTAAATTCCATTTACACGATGCTATGTTTTTAGGGACATTTCATAAATTCAATGTTAAGATATTTTGGAGATTAGATGATAATTGCTAAAGATTGCATAATTTATCAGAATATAAAATATTGGGGTTTCTTAATTTGGGAAAAGTGTTTCCCAAATTTTATGTGTTTACAGATGCCAAAGTATTTGAAACTAGCAAACAATTTGACTACATAGCAAAGCTTTTAAAAAAAATGTCCATATAATGCTTTTTTTTTTTACAGAATTCCTTCCATATGTTCTGAAGCAGAAATAGCACCTTGTCTTGTTCTGGAAACAGTTTTTTCAATAAGTACTTCACCTTTGGAAAACTTTGGTAAATTATTTTTGTAAGTTTTATTTAGTTTATATAAAGCATTGTAAAATTTAAATCACCTTCATTTAATAGCTGTGTTGCTATTATTATAATTACTACAAAATATGTCAGCAGTGTGTTATAATGGTATAAAAATATCTTCTTATTTTGCATGTGTGTGAACATTTTAATATGAAAAACTGGACAAGTCTTTATGAAAATGAAAACTTGAGATGAAGATAGAACAGAATGTGCAGCTTTGGGTCTAGACCAGTGGTGGCTAACATTTTGTTGTTGGGTGCCAAAAATGCAGGCACGTGATAGCGCACGTGCAGGGACCCATAATGCAAGGTCCCCCCCCCCACATGCGCATGCACACAATACCACCATCCCCTATGCGCACCGCACTGCTCCCCTCCAAGCTCAGCTTGGTATTTCTTTCGGAGGGCCAGAGGAGGCGATTTTTGCCCTCTCAGGCTCCAAGAAAGCCTCCGGAGCCTGGGGGGGGGGGGGGGCAGAAAACAGTCCCAACGGGCCTTTTGGAAGCTTGGGTTAGGCTGTTGGTTTGAGCTCCGAGCTTGGCAATTTGGTTGCAAACATTTCATCACCATTTGAGGAGACATCGGCAGTGCGTTTTGAATTGTGCTCGTGTGCCGGAATACAAGTCTTTAAATGCCTTTTTATGAGATGCAAATTAGTCTGAATGTTGTTTGTTCAGATATTTCTGAGTCATAGTCTGATTTCAGACTGCATCAATATACACATTAATATACACATATAATATACCCATTAATATTGATCTAGTCTACCGATCGCTGAGAATGAAAAAACTGCATCAATCACAATCTCAAAGGTAGCATTTAAAACAAACAAACAGGCACCTCACTACGCAGCAACAAAATTATAACCCATCGTCTCAAGAAATTGGACCACGTCTCAGTAACAATAGCCAGCCACTCAAACTATCAAACAAACCAAAACCAGATTGGAATGAAGTTCCACTACAAAGGAGAAATAGATAGATTCTTGAGTGAGTTGAATACAGCATATTTGGAGAATCATATAATTCCTGGAAGCAAGTTGTGGGTTTTTGTTGTTCTCAGATATTAGGAATGCTCCTGACACAGTCCAAGACTTCATCATAAATGTGCAAAGTGCTTAGTATTAGCTGTTTAGATAGCTTTATAATAAACCAATGCAAACCTTCTATGTACAGGTAGTCCTTGAGTTACAAATGTAATGGAGCCTGCCCATTCCATTCATAATCCAAGGATTTGTGGGAGTGAATCCTGTACCTTGAATGCGATCACTTCCTCCTTTCGCCCACGCATTCACTAACCGAATGCGAGGCTTGCTAAGTGCACTTGAGGTATCAGAGTGGGAAGGCCATGGGAGGGTTAGTGATGGAACAGACCAACTGCTTCAGACCACCCAAGGCCTCCCCCTACCCACTGAAACACTTTGTGCTCCCCACAATTGCTCCCCCCCTCAACCTGCCGTACCAGGTCACTTACTTTGTGAAGATCTGTCTCCTTTCTAGTGTCTCTGTTTCTTTGCCTGCATGTGGTGAGAACAGAATGTGGCTTCTCTGATTACCAAATCTGCCTGCCACTCCTGAAGCAGCGGGCAGCCACAGTGAGTCTCCTCAAAAGGCTTCCAGGCTCCATGCAGAAAAGCATTTGCATGAAGGGAGGCTTTGAGGCAATGAACTCACATTGCTCCAACCTCTTCATTAATGTACAACCACTTTTCCCACGGAGACTGAAACCTAGGTGCCCTGATCCCACGGGACATCAGGCAACCATTCTCTGCAAAAGCAAATGGGTGTCTGAACTTGCGTGAGACCATACTCTCCATAGGTTTCCAGTCTCCATCTGGGTGAAAAGTGTTTGAGTGAAAAGCTTTGTTTTAAGCACCTTATTTCCATGCAGATGAAGTTTCCAGTCTCTGTCAGGACATCAAGTGTTTGAGCAACCCTGGGGCAGTTAGAAACGGAGCAAATCACTCCATTTCCAACTGCCCCAGGGTCTCTCAAACATTTGGTGCCCTAAAGGAGACTGGAAACTTTATCTGCATGGAAATGAGGTGCTTGAAAATGGAGCTTCTCTTCAGCAGAGGCCTTGAGGAAAGACCTTTCTTGGCTAAAACGGACCACCAGAGCAACGCACGCTCCTTCTGGGTGTTCCGTTCTTGGCAGCAAAGGCTTTTTTTCAAAGATGGCAAAAGGCTTTGCAAACAGAAGGAAAGCTTTGATGTTTCAGGCCTTCCCTTGCTGCAGCTCTCATTCAGACCTCCATTTACAGAGAACAGAGGCCTAAAGTACTATGAAATCACGCGAGATCAATAGTGTGAGTTCTCACACTATTGATCTAGTGTGATCTTGTGGTACATTAGGCCTCCAATCTCTGTATACACATCAAAGGCCAAGAAAGCAAAGGCTCTCCAGATCTTCATAAGGTGAATATGCACAGGCCTCTGAAGTTGTTCGTAAGAGCAAAGAACATCGTGGTGCTGCAATATTAATAATTTCGGGAATTGTTCATAAAAGCTAGGATTCGCTTATCGCATAACTTCAAACGTTCGCTAAGGGAACGTTCGTAAGTCAGAGACTACCTGTATTTACATTTTTATTGATTTATACTATGGTGGTGAGTTAGAATGCAGTGTTGCAGACTAATTCTGCTGACTGTTCAATCCCAACCAGCTCAAGATGGACTCAGCCTTCCATCATTCTGAGGTCAGTAAAATGAGGACTCAGATTGTTGGGGGCAATATGCTGACTCTGTAAACAGCTCATAGAGAGCTGTAAAGCAGAATGGAGCGGTATATAAGTCTGTTATTGCAATTGCTACACACATGAGAGGAGCAGAAAAGATAGCAGCTAATATCAGCTAAAGCGATGTTTAGTGATTTTGTTGACTGTACATTAAACTGTAATATAACTTTTCTATAAAAACACTACAAAATAATCAACTTACAGCAACGATAAAATAATTGAATCTGTTCTCACTGAATAATTTGTCAGTATTTGTAAAATAATTATTATTTTTACTGTGTCACAACAAAGTGTTTTTATTTAAATATTAGGATCTTCTAAATCAGGACATGTTGTTACATGTGTCCATGAAGGAGAAGAAAAAAAGCAGACTTCCAGTACTACTGGCACAAAAGAAACAAAAAGGAAAGTTTCAGATACTACTCCCAGAAGACGATCTACCCGAAATATTAAAACAGAAACTTCATATCAGTGTCAGAGTTCACCAAAATCCAGTAACACTGGATATGAGGCCAGTGGTGATGGTAGCTCATTTGTGAATGTTTCTTTTACGGAATTGGAGAAATTAACCACTAAACAGAAAGCTAGAAGAAATGTTAAACAGCAGGAACCTTTGGCTAAAAAGAAACTAAGAAGTTCTGGGCGTTACGGAAAAGTATCTAGTAATATAGATTTTGATGAACCTGATGAGACAGAGATAACCTTGCTATTAGACAAAGGCAACTTAGCAGACAGTGAAAATAGCACCTCTGACCTTACTCATAAAAATGATGTTGACACCGAATCTTCTAATGGCTTAGAAAACTCCTATGTAACATATAAGAAGAAACCTAAGGAATGCTGCTGTGAAGGGCAAGATACATTGGATATCTTAGAAACTGGTTCCCATGTTCAAGATCCTCCATCACTTGCCTTAGAAAAAGCTGCTGGTTCTTGTGTTGAGGATCTTCCTTTGCTCACTCTAGAGAGAAACACTGAAAAATGTGAAGAAAAAGTTGACATTGAAACTGAAAACAAGTTATATTATAAAAATACTGCTGAGCAAGATCAGCATTTAAATATTTCTGGAGAACAATTGTGTGATGATAATATTACATTTACTCTTCAGTCTCCAGAATTAGGTATCCCCGCCATTGAATTGCCAGCAAAATTGGATCCTCTGGCAGTAACATATCAAATAGTAGAAAGTCCTGGGAAAGAATTAGGGAAAACAGAATGCATGTCAATAGTAGATGACATTTCAGCTGTTTCTAGACATGAGTTGCTAGGAGGATCAGAATCTGTTCCAGTAGCAGATAATTTATTGGCTGGTACTAGAAATGAATTCCAGGAAAAACTGGAATCTGAGGTAATAGCAAATAAACTAGTGTCTTGTCATAGAAATGAATTAAGAAAACCAGAATCTTCCGCAATAGATGGAATACTGGAGAAACCCATAACTGAATTTGCAGAAGAAATAGTCACGAAGCCGCTAGATAATATCACAAGTGAAGTCCCGTTGTATTCTTTAGGTGTGCAAGATGTTGAAATTGAAAAAAAAGATTCAAATGTATATATAACCAATGAATATCTAAATAATAATGACTTATTAATAAACGTTTCCTCAGAGAATAAACTTAATCTGTCTTTTGAAAATGATAAAGCAGAAATTGAAACTATTACATCACCCAAGATATGTACTGAAGATATTAAACACTTTAACAAAGATGACAATGAGATAGTATCTATAGAATATGACTCATTTAATAGTAATCGTAGTGCATATCAGCTTGACCAACCATTAATAAATGACAATATAGAGCAGAAAGCAAATTTCTTACAAAATGATAGTAAACATTCTGTATCACTTTCAAATTCTGATAAGAAAGAAGCAAAAGAAAGTTTCAGAGATAAAAAGACACGAACCAGAAGATCACGATTTCATTCTCCATCAACCACTTGGTCCCCATCCAAGCGAGAGGGGAAAAGATCTCAATCCCCATTCCCAAACAGGGAAATTGTGGGGGAAGATAGAATGTCTCGATCTCCCAAAAGGGATATTTTCAAAGAAAGTCAAAGATCTTTATCCAAATCTCCTAAAAGAAATCCTGTAACATCTGCATCCAGTTCTCCCAGAACAGATAGCCTGAAAGAAAAGAAACAGTCACTGCTGAGTTCTCCCAGAAAAGATCATTTAAGAGAAGGAAGAAATTCTCCAACCAACTCTCCAAAAAAAGATTATATCAAAGATGGAGTAAGATCTTCTCAGATGCAAGCTAAGGAATCACCTCCACGGTACAAATGTAGGTCTCCCAGTAAGGACAGAGCTAATGATAAAAATGAATTTAGAAGAGAGAATGAAAGAGGGAGAAGTAGGAGAAGGTGGTCACAGTCACGATCAAGATCTCGATCCAGATCCAGATCTAGACCAAGAACTAAAGGGCCATCATTCCCTAGAAATGAGAGGGATGGTTATTCACCACCTCAATGGAAGGAAAGATGGACAAATGATAATTGGAGAAGCCCCAGAGGAAATGATAGATACAAAAAAAGTGAACAGCAGAAACAAACAGAGTGTATGAAAAGTGAAAGAGATAGTGTAAATAAAGATGCAGATACACAGAGTTCTTCCGAGCAGTACAGAAAGGATTATCCAGATTGGGTGATGGAAAGAATAAATTCAGTTCCAGAAACAAAGAGTAGAGAAAGAGAGAATTTTAGAAATCAGCAACGGGAAGAAAATAGGCACAATGATTCAGGGGCTTTGTGGAGTGGAAATTATGGTTCAGGTTGGAATTCAAACCATGGCAGAGGCAGTCGTGGCAGAGGTTGTTTCACATATGGAGAGCAGGCTGAAAGTCGCTGGCAAAATAGGAAAGCCCACTCAAGGAATGCAAATAGTTCTAGTAATGAAACTTCTAGATTTCCAGAACATCACCCATTCAAACGTAAAGCAGAACAAGATTTCACTTTCGATACACCTGCTGATAGATCTGGATGGACAACTGCATCAAGCTGGGCTATAAGAAAGACTTTACCAGCTGACGTACAGAATTACTATTCAAGAAGAGGTAGAAATTCTTCAAGCCCACAGTCTATATGGACAAAAGAAGAAGTAGCATCTGAGCAAGGTAATTATTTCTCCTATACCTCTTAACTCCTAGATGGAAATCCACATGTAGCCCCCAAGTCCCCTTTTTAAAAAACACTTGTTTGTAAACAGTATACAAATATACACTATGTGCACAATTATTAGGCAAGTTGCATTTTGGAGGATTAATTTTATATGTTCTCAGTCAATCCAAAATGTTAATAAACCTCAAACCTAAATATTTAAGAAAATAAAAGTGATGTTTTGGTTTTCTTAGGAGAATATCTATCTATGCACAATTATTGGGCAACTATTAGTATGCAGAAATATTATGCAACTAAATGAAAAATGAACATTTGTCCATCTTATTTATTTACATCTATTAAAGTGAGAATAATAACTCTAAATGTACAAACATTTCTAACATTAAAAAAAAATCAGTGACCAATATAGCCACCCTTCTTTTCAATTACGGTCATAAGCCTGCCATTTATGAAATTTATCAGTTTCTTGATCTGTTGGCAATCAACAGTGCAGCAGCAACCACAGCCTCCCAGACACTGTTCAGAGAGGTATGCTGTTTTCCTTTGCCGTAAATCTCCCATTTAAGAAGGTCTCACAAGTTTTCAATAGGGCTTAAGTCAGAAAGGGAGTCATGTCATTATTCTTTCATCTTTAAGGCCTTTACTGACTAGCCACACAGTGGAGTACTTTGATGCATGCAATGGAGCATTGTCCTGCATAAAAATCATAGTCTTTATGAAAGATGCAGACTTTTTCCTGTACCATTGCTTGATATCTTCTTGTCTTCTAAAAACTGGTAATAGATTTGGGAGTTTATTTTGAGTCCATCTTCAACCCGAAAAAGTCCAACTACCTCACCTTTAATATTACCATACCATACCTCCACCTTGCTGGCATCTGAGTCAAAGTGGGGCTCTGTGCCCACTATTGATCCAGCCATGGGCCCATCCAATAGGTCCATCAAGAGTCACTCTCGTCTCTTCAATTCATAAAATCATAAAAAATCTGTCTTTGCCTAGACTTGCTATTTCAATTTATATGTCTTGTTCAGTGTGGTCGGGTTTCAGCCTTCCTTACCTTGACCATGTCTCTGAATACTGAATACCTTGTACTACCTGAAAGCCACTCCAGATAGTTCTGGAATATGACAACACTGGAGGATAATGGCTTCTTGGTAGCTTTATGTTTGATTCTTCTCAAATCTTTGGCAGTTAATATGGAGTCAATGGAGAAAGTAGCAATAAAATCAAAGTCATGGTCGTGTGATGTTGCACAATGATCACTGGTGATGTACTTAATGACCACAGTGGATTGACATTATAAGCTTGTCATGATCATGTGATGTTTCATTTAATGATTGCATTGCATAGTGATAAAATATTAAACTTACCAAGGTAAGTAATTTGGTGTGGAATATCCAATTAATGCCACGATATATATTTCATTTTAATGTGCTAAATCACTTGATGTATTGAGACTAGTTTTTAATTGTATGTGGAGAGTGTGAGAGAGAGAGACAGATCTGGTATCAGATTCTCTTCTGTTCATGGACACCACTTTACTTTTTGGGAGGGAGGGATAATCTTTTTGTATACCTTCTTTTTAAAAATGTCTGTTCTTCTCTGATAGATCCAAACTTCAAAGACCAAACCAGCCAACAAAGTGATGCTTCTCAGCTACCAGTAAATGTATTGCAACCTCAGATGAATGTAATGACATCAGTAAACACACAGCATCAGCCGATGAGTATCTTCCCGTATACAATGGGTGTTCCTACTCCTATTATGAACATTCAAACCAATCCATTTAACCTTCCTCCACCGGTGCCCATGCATCTTCATTCAGGACTGCCTCTTGTCCAGGTAGCAGCTTCATCCAGTGTGTCTCAGGGACCACCTCCTCCACCACCACCACCTCCTCCATCCCAGCAAATTAACTTCATTGCTTCCCAATTTGATGGACAACAGTTGCAGGTATCTATTTTAGTTGTTAAAAAACCCTACAAACTGTTAATATATGTAGAAGTAGGTACATTGTTTTAATGACAAATATTTGTATGTATGTATGACTATTATATTAGGAATACTCAAGTCTGTTTGGAAGCTCACTGAAAAATATTTGCTTGTGTTCCAAGATACTTGAGCCCTGGATAAACAACATGTATATATGTTGATTTGTTTGCATATGCTTCCGAGCATCAATTTCTGGAGATATATTTTAGTAAGCAATTATTTTTAGTATATCTACCAATTGTGGAGCCAAGACATCCTGTAATTGGTGTTTCTGAGCTTGAATTAAAATTCTAATTCTGCGTCTATTGCCCCTTTCTGCATTCTGTCCTTGTGTTGCTCTAAAGAATATGGTTGCTTTCCAGCTTCTCCATGGCCAAATCAAGTTATAGTAAACACAAATCCCTCCCCACATTTTCTTTCCTTTTTTATTTTCACTCCCCCCCCAGCCAGCACTGTTTGTCTATAGATGTCTCAGAGGTTGTTGCTAATGTTTTGAGACAAACTGAGTAGACTAAGCCCTAGAAGTATGGCAGTGTACCCTTCAATTCTCCACCATGGTTTCTCCAGGGAAATGCAAATAACACAAACAATGTCCACCTATATACCATCTATTGACAGCAGGGCTGTTTCCAGTTATTGCTAGCCTTACCCAGCTTTTTGACTCAGTCCTCTTCCGAGGACGCACGTGTCATCGCTTTCTCCTGAAGATAATTGATTTCAGTGTAGTTTACAAAAAAATAAAAGGTTTCCAGCATTGATTTTATTTCCTTGCCTTTGTATTGGAAGCAAGGCTTAATTTCTCAGCTGTCAGTTGGGGCTGGAGCGCAGGGGCTTGTGCCCATTGCTCACCCTGAGGGACATCTGACTGCCCAAAGTGACTGACAGGGTAGGAGAGAGTGGAGCGCTCTTTGTCTGGTCACTAAGTGTGATCCAGGTCCCTGCTTGCTACATCGGCTGACACTATCACGCCTGATATTCTGCCTCCGAAACCACAGTTTCCCTCAGTAAGTTGGAATTGATTGACAGCAACCGAGACTGAGGAGTTTGAAGTTGGTGGGGCAGCTTTCCTTAAGGAGAGTCATCGCTTCGTTCCTGTGGCCGCTACAGCCAACCGTGAACTGCGCTTTCAGTAGTGGGAGAGGTGCGGCTGTCAGATCATTGCCTCATTGCTTCTAATCAGCAGTTGCCTTTGCTGTTGATGCGCTGCTTCTACCGCCAGCCCTTTGATCTTTCGGGGTCTGGCTTTGTCGGTGGTACTTGCAGAGCGCTCAGACGCTGAGACTGAGAGAGAGAGAGAGAGAGCGAAGAGAAGGAAGCAGGTGAGCGCCAGATCAGTCAGAACTTTCCCTTGCCGATCTTTGCCCTGTGGTTACCAGCGCCAGTTGCAGGCTTCCATTGACCATTAGAAAGGATGTGAACCGCCATTTTGTTTAGTTGTCAAATAGCTGTCAAATCGATCAAGATGGCACCCGAGGCTTCTGTGATGGGCGCTGAGGGGAATTTGAGCCCAGGCATTTCCAATCAGGGGCTCCTAATAACGGTGGAGGCTTCTACCTCCCAGGCTGGGGCTGACCCTAAGGGGCACAGGAGGGCAGAAAAATCTGCTGGCTATTCTTCCAAGAGTAAAAAAATCAACTAAATCAGCCTCCAGTTTTGAGAAAGGAGAAGACCAAGCACCTAGCAAACAAGGTTCCAAGTCTTCCTCTCACAGGCCCCCCTCCTCTTCCTCAATGGGGGATCAGGTGTCCCAGGCCAGCAGCAATAGATCCTTCTCACCTATTCTCTTGGAGCAGAAACCTGGACCTTTCAGTCCTCTGTTTCCTATTAATACCTCAGGCCTGTGGGGGGGTCAGGTGCAGATCTACAAGGACACATATTGCAAGATGTCCAGTTGGGGGCTGTGGGCAGCAGACCTGTTGAGGCTATGTCCACCACTACAGCTGTGGGGTTTCACCCTGACCTGCAACTGCCTCCCCTGGCTTTGCCCAACATCCAGGACATAATAGCTTCAACCATTTCCCAGGGCATAGCTGCGGGCCTACAACAGGGATCTGGAGCAGCCCCACCTATGGCTCCTGGGGATAACCCGGCTACAGTGCCAGCCCCACCTATGGCTCCTGTGGTTAACCGGCTACAGCCCCAACAGTGCAGAGGCCCTTGTCACCTACTAGGTCTCACCATAGCCAGTCCCCTGTCTCAGAAGATGGAGAAATTAAGGATGCTGAATTTTCTGGAGTTGAGGCAGTTCCAGCAGTTTCCCCAGGTCCCAACCATCGATGCCCCAGTAGCGGTTCTTCACTCGGCAACCACCATGCCTGGCTCTCAAGAGGAGGTCCTCAAGCCAGAGGACAGGAGGGCTGACCTCCCGATGCAGCGCAATCATCAAGTGGCAGCTTGGGCGGTCCGGGCTTCCACTTCTGCATCATTCTTCTCCCGTTCTTGCCTATTTTGGCTGCAGCAGCTCCAACAAAGAATTCCTGCAACCGACTTGAGGGCCCATCAAGACCTCAATAAGATAGTGGCTGCTGTCCAATTCACAGCGGATGCCACGTTTAATGCCACACGCTTTGCATCTAGGGCCATGGTCACTTCCCGCCGTCTACTGTGGCTACGCCAGTGGCAGGGAGACACGAGACATAAGTGTGGCTAGCGTATGCTCCTTATAAAGGGGGGAGTCCCTGTTTGGAGAGGCTCTAGAGCCACTCCTTATTGAGGACAAGGATAAACAGAAAATTTTACCATCAGCTTCCAGAAAAGGGGCTTCCCACACTATAGTACCTCCTTTTGAGTTCATGATTACGGCTCCATTGGCTATAGGGCCCAGGGGAGTATCGCCAGAGACAGTGTCAGCAGTCCCTTCGTTACCAGAGGGGTAACCAGGCCAAGAAGTCCTTTCAGGGGGAAGGAGGTCATAATTCCCGAAAACCATAGAACCTATGGGGTCTCCATTCCTGGGCAGTTACAGTATTTCGCAGAGCGGTGGGACGAAATTACCTCCGATGGATGGGTACAATGGACCATTAGGTCTGGCTTAGCTCTAGAATTCCTCTCCACACCCCTGAGTTTCTTTATTTGTTGCCCGATGTCCCTTAATCTGGACAGGCAAGCCCTTATGAATTCGGCAATACAACATCTCCTGGACATCAGGGCGGTTCAACCAGTTCCGGACCAATTATACCAGGGTTTTTATTCTAGTCTTTTTGTTACCCCTAAGGCCTTGGGGGGCTTGGAGAGCAATTCTGGACCTAAAACGCCTCAACCGGCATTTAAGATACCGCTGGTTTAAAATGCATTCGTTGCATTCTATCCTGACAGGAGTGCAGGAAGGTGACCTCCTCACGTCAATTGACTTGACAGAAGCTTAACTGCACATCCCAATTTTGCCTGAGCACCATAAATTTCTAAGATTCTGTTACGGGGGTCAGTATTATCAGTACAAGGCTTTGCCATTTGGCCTTTCATCTGCCCCCCGGGCATTCACCAAAGTGCTAGCGGCATTGGCAGCATATCTGAGGCTCTTGCCCGTGCGGGTCCAATGCTACCTTGATATGTTATTGCAATCCAGGTCACTATCTGGAGCAAGGTGGGACCTTGACATAACAATTCACACCTTGGAGGCTCATGGCTTCTCTATAAACAGGGATAAAAGTCACCTCAAACCCGCCACCTGGATATTACACCTAGGAGCGTGGATTGATTCCATCTAAGGACAGGTTTTCCTGTTGGGAGATAGACAGGAAAGCATTAGACAACTGGTTGAGTCAGCACAGGGTCTCCCTGGCCACCTTATCCCGCTTGTTGGGGAAACTAGTGTCAGCTATTAACATAGTGCCTTGGGCACGCCTCCACACTAGGGACCTTCAGTGGTTTCTCTTACCCTTCCAGAAGGCTTGCAGGAGTACATCACTGCTGAAGGTCAACGTTCCAGCGGACGTCCTCCAATTGCTCCATTGGTGGAAGTCGACAGCCATCACCAAGGGCTGCCACTTCAGGGTGGTTCACAGGGTGACGGTCACCATGGACACCAGTCTTTACGGCAGATGGCCCAGGGACAATGGGACCAAGTGGACAGGACTCAAAACATAAACTGGTTAGAGCTCAGAGCCATCCACCTGGCCCTCCAGAGGTTCCTCAGCACCATAGCCAAATAAAAGAATGGCTGGAAGAGGTCACTGCACACCAAATAGAACTAAAACCAGAAGTATTTCTATTAGGAATTATAAAGGGAAACTATGAGAAAAGTATCAAATATCTAATTATACACATAATTACTACAGCAAGAATTTCATTTGCACAGAATTGGAAAAATAAACACATACCAACAGAAGAAAATGTAATAAAAATATATTGGAATGTGCTGAAATGAATAGGCTCACGAAAGAACTAAAAGATAAAGAAGAATATTACTCAGTATGGGACTTACGATATAATTGGCTAGAGGAAAGAGAAAAAAAGTAGGAAGCAATAAAGAAAAGAAGAAAGATCAAGAAATTACAAAACAATTACAATACCAGAAAATGAATAAAAGGTGGAAATACAAAATAGACTGTAGACAAAAATAATAGGAAATAAAATGATATAAGATGACGTAAATGTATATAAAGGTTATATATAGAACTGATAGAAAAATATATGAAATAAAATGTGTTTGTGTGTGTGTGTGTGTGTATACATACATATATACACACACAAACATACATATACATACATAGTTATATAAGATTTACAGGAATAAAGGAAACACAATGGATATGTAAAAGAAGTATAATGTGTTGCAAAGATGTTATGTTTGTACAAACAAAATTTTAAAAAATGCCTGAATTGATTGGAATGAGGAAAAGGGAAATAATGTAAAAAGGATCCTCCACTATATACAACTTGCTGAACATCACCCTTCTTCACACACATTATGTTCTCTTTCAACTTGAATAATATAAGGGTTTTTCCCCTTACCCATTAATTGTATGTTCTGCAAGTTGTATATATATTGGAGATATCAGCATCTCTTTAATTTGTTTGCTATTTAGAATTCTGTGCAGTGGTATTGCATATAACTAGTTGGACGCTAAATTCTCCTAACTTTTCAAAACAGGCTGCTCCAACTACTTCCCATGTTGCTAACAGCGTGAATACAGCACACTTGTCTGCTCCAATAGCAGCTCTGGGAACTGTGGAATCTATTCAGGGATCGAATTCGGGTAACACAGCATCATCAAATAACATCAAATCCTCAAATACTGCTGTAAAATTTATGGAAAAGAAAGTAAATGTCACAGTGGAAGCCAGCGCAGATAGTTCCAAAAAAGACCAGGTAAGTTCAAAGCAAAGAATAACATGAATAATTTTGAATAACTAAAAATAGGAATAAATTGCCTTGAAAACAATGTTTGCATCAGTCATTTTTATAATCTGTTACTTTTCCATGGGGTTTAAGAATTTTACAGTTTGTATCCTGATACAAAAAATACATAACATCAGATCTACTTTGATACTTTGTTCTCAAGCCACTCTTCTACAGCTTCTGTATAAGCTGTTGTTTTTTTTAAAAAAAGAGGAAAAGATGGAAGTATGGTAAAAGTAGTTTTACTAAATTGTTCGGCCCTGCAGGCAACAGCCATGTTAACAAGCTTCTTTAGACGAACATTTTTTTTTCAGTCAGTTATTGAATAATCTTTAGCCACTTATGGCTACAGGTTAGATGAACAATCTAATATCCATAATAAATTTTCTCACCAAGTAATATATTTTTGTTATTTGTTATATATCTCTTCTAGCATTAATGTTATATTTTAGTAATACTGGGGGATGTGTGCTTTGCAGACAGAGTATGCTGCTGTGGAGAGTAGCATTTATGCATATTTGAATTGGGTATTAATCACAATGTTGATCTGTATCTGCTCTTTCTCTAAATAAAATGCACCCTTTATTTTTTCTAGAAATTATTAATTCAAGAAAAAGCTGCACAAGAAGTAAAACTTGCTATTAAGCCTTTCTATCAAAATAAAGATATTTCTAAAGAAGAGTATAAAGAGATAGTTAGAAAAGCAGTAGATAAGGTAAGTAATATTGATAATGCTCATCAGTGATTAGCAGTCTAATTTTATTAATACTTTCAGGCTTTTGGACATAGGAGGTAATAGCTTCAACTCTATAATATAGCTGAAGCTTTTACAGACATTTATACATCAGATATTGTTTCTCACATATAATCACCATCATACTGACCATGTTCTTCATTTTGGGGCTACATAATTAGAGCACAGCAAAGTATGTGGTGCAAAATAAGATGTGAAGGCAAAATTGTATCCTTGTGAATTATCCTTGTTTTTACCTCAATCATGTACTGTTTCCTACAGAGTTTTTTGTTCTTTTCTCTCTTATTAACTTTTCTCTCTTATTAACTCCATCCAACCACTATTTTCCTGGTCTTCCCTTTATCTCAATGTCAGGTATCTAAGTAATAGATCTATTGCAAGCAAGAACTCTGAGGCAGGTGAATTCCTCAAAGAATAGCTTTATTGGAAATATCATATTGGCACATATCTGGTGAAAACCAAGTGGTCCCTTGGTTTTCACCTAATTAAAAGTAAAAGTTTTTCCCTCAATCCCAAACAGTCAGTCACCTGGGCCAATCAAGGCAGCATCTGCTGGTCTGGTGACATCACTCCTTCCTCCTCCAGCCAGTTGTGAGAACATCCTTGGTTCCCAAGAGAAAGTTTTATTTTGACTATACAACCCCAACTATCTCTAATCCCCCCTCCCTCTCCCTCGCTCCAGTGTGGTAGCATTGAAGCTCCAAGATGGTTTCGGCCAGGTCAGCTTCAGGGTTGACACTCAACTTACATATTCTCTTCTTCTACGTTCTTGTTTATTTTTTTAAAAAAATTGATCCTCCTTCCTTCAGTTTCTGTATATGACCAAATTGGTTTAACATTGCTTTCCATTATTGTTCAAGTGTTCATTCACGTTTATAATATTTACATTATTTAGCAGCCATTCTTGACTCTGTTCACTTGTCTTACCATAGTCTTCTTGAACTTAGTCCCAAGCACATTGTTCCAGTTCCATTTTTTCCCTGACATGCTTATTTCTCATTTCCATGTAACAAATGGCCAGAATTTTGTTCTTATGCACAGCCCTTTTCTCTGCTTTCATTTATTTCTGATAACAAGTCACTTAGTACTTACTAACTTTCTGCCACATATGCACATCTTAACATTTGTCCTTCTATTTTCCCACCTGTAGTAAACATTTTACTAAAGTACAAACATAATCTATATGTTTTCATTTTTGACCATTTTGGGCAACTTGCAATAATTTTCTCCATCAATTGTCCCATTTGGCACATCCAAACAACTCCTGGCACCTAGGAACTACCAAGAGTAAACCTTTATTGAAAGATTCTTTTAGGCATAGCAGAAGCAAAGTCAGCTGTGATATTTTCTCACAAAACCCCATATAGGTAAAAAAAAAAAAAAAAAACTTTTCACCCCTGGGCTACCCACAATTCATTGTCCATCAATTATACTCAGTACTTTTGTTTTGGGAAACAGTCTTCGCTGGATGATAGCTCTGAGAACTTGGCCTTGGTGGGTATCTCCTCTCTGGCAGCAGAACGCTCTCATGCATTCCTTAGCCTTCCTCACATTATTTGTCTCTCTCCTCACAGGGGCCAACTTATATGTCCTGCATAAAAACTGTTCATTAACCTAGCTACTTTCACATCTTTATTGGCTAAGGCAGTGATGGCTAACCTTTTTCGCCTCGGGTGCAAAAAGTAGGCATACATGTGTGCTAATTTAATGGCCCCCATGCCATGCCCCCTGTGCATGGCTTTCTTGGAGCCTGGGGAGGGCAAAAACAGCTTCCCAAGGCCCTCAAGAGGTCAGAAACGGCCCATTTTCCAATTTCTGTGGGCCCGGTGTGTCCGTTTTTTGCTCTCCCCAGGCTCTAGAGGCTTTCTAGGAGCCTGGAGAGGGTGAAAAATGGCCCAACACACAAACTGGAAGTTCGGGAATGGACTTCCGGGTTGCCCGTTGGATGGTTTTTCTCACTCTGGAGGCTTTAGGAGGCTTCCCTGAAGCCTCCGGAGAGTGAAAAACAGCACAATGTGCAAACCGGAAGTCTGTTCCTGAACTTTCGGTTTGCACATTGGGAGGTTTTTCTCCCGAAGCCTCTGGAGGGAGAAAAACAACAAAAAATCAAGGCTGAAAATCAGCTGCTAGTGCATGCATTCGCACTGGAGCTGACAGGCAATGCCTCACATGCCTCAAATAGCCATATGTTCGCCATCACGGGGCTAAGGGATAGTTCCTCCAAAATACCAAATATTGCAGTTTCCCCCTATGGTACCGAGAGTCTATAATCTCCTTGATTTCATAGTGCTCTTCTCCTTTGACTAGGGTGGGAGGGCAAGGTTTTTCTGTAGTGGGACTTAATTCTGAGCTACAGAAAGGTTTCAACAAACTTCAGTGAAACACTGGATGCACTCTCTTGTGGCTTTTTGGCAGCTGCATCTTTACAGTAACCAGATTTATGATCTGGATGATCTGAAAGAATTCTATGGGCCAGCTTCTTACAAGGCTGCCTCAGATTAAGGAACTTGGTAGACAAGTATTCTTTATCCCCCACCTTGAACTCCCCCTTTGGGGCTCTTTTCTTGACTGCCTGCCTCTTCTGCATTTCCCTAACTTTTTGCAATGCCCTGTGCACCACCACCCATATTTCTTTTAATGTTTCCATCCATTCGTCCAAGGATGCTGAGGACGGTTGTCCCTGCGGGATTTCTGACATGAGCCCAAACTCTACGCTGCTAGCTACCCAAAAAGGGGTCAACCCTGTACTACTATGCATGGAGTTACTGTGTACCACTTTTGCAAATGGTAGCAGTTTAGTCCAATTGATCTGTTGGTAGTTGACATAACACTTCAGGTACTGCTCCAAAACTGAGTTCGTAACTTCACAGACTTCATTGGTATTAGGATGATCGATGGAGGTAAGGCCCTGTAAGGAGTCAATCAGGTTGAGGAATTCCTGCCAAAACTTTGACATGAACTGCACCCCTCAGTCCACAATGATGCGTTTTGGACTCCATGCAGCCAATAAATATGCTTCACAAACAACTTCACCAGAGATCGGGTGGAGGGAATCTTTGGGCATGCTACAAACATGCCTACTTGGAAAATAAATCCATGATGGTTTGATTAAAGTATTCCCTGCACTTTCCAGCTGTAAAGTACCCTAACGATGCCTACTTCATAATAAGCAACCCNCTTTCAGGGACTTTGCGATATCCCTGAGATCAGCAGGAGGTGCCTTTCTCAATCACCATCTCTGCGGAACGGTTTAGGTCCAAATGTACTGTCCAGCTGCAGGAATTCGACTGCGATCTCGGAACACCAAGATCGCACATCATGCTGTCGCAACGTCAGCTCTGTTCCAACTTTGAGCCAATTTTCTGAAGAATTAGCAGTTCCTCCCTGCTTTGTGTGTCCTGCAGATTTGCTGACTATCTCTTTATCCCCTTGTCTGAGTCATTTATAAAAGTGCTTTAGTCTCAGGACAAAACTCTGATGTATCCCACTTCATGCCTCATTGTATATAGACATAGAAAAGTTAAGCTTCATGATTTAGGTATGCTTGTTCAACCTACTCTGAATCTATCTGATAGTGGGACCATCCATCCCACATAGTTCCCATGGTCAACTTACAGCTAAAGGAACTTACCGCGATAAGTTGTATGTGGTTTGTTTATAGTCCATAGTTCATAGTGGGAATTCAGCCATTATAATTTACGTTTATATGACCCTGGCTATAGACCACAAACCATGCTTTTAAAAAGGATGGTGTATGAACATATATGTTATATAGTGGTGGTCTAGAGTGTAGACCATTATATAGTCAGAACCCGAAACATAAATCCATTCCTTTCTGCTGTAGGATTTGGATTCTTAAAATGCAAATGTTACTGGGCAGAGGAGTTTCTTTTTTAAAGCTTATTTTTTCTCCTCTTCCAGATGTTTTTAGGCAGTTTTGTTGTTGTTTCTAAACTAATTCTATTCATGTTTTAAAAATTTATGAAAGCACTAATAAAAATGTCAAAGTGGTAAAAATGTTAGCTTTTGCTCTGCTTTGATTAAATTTTGCAAACTGTTTTTGAATATTAAAAAGCAATTTTTTTTATTCTTTCTTCCCTCCACAAGTGATTTGAGAGGCCGGATGCTTGGCTATCACTCAATAAGCTCATTTGCACTCTAGAGCCCAGCATCATGTTTCTCTATTAAATAACACAGACAAATTATCCTTTAAAGACACCAAGCAAATTGTCACTCCTCTTACATTAAACTCGGAAGGGGGTGGAGTGGGGAAAAAGAGACAAAGGATTTTATTGTTTTTATTCCTTGGGTGGTTTTTTTCCACTCTAATTTCTTGTGTATATTTTAATAATGGCCAGACCCATCATAACTGGATTTGTTTAAACTTCTTATTAACAAGCCCATATAATTTTTAAAAAATATTTTTGATGAGTCAACTATTTGAATTTTTGATATTTCTCTTTTCGTGTGTCAGGGCTACTTTGTCCCCAAAATGGTTATGTTCAAAGTAATGTACGGATAGAATGGTAGGAAGAACATTACATTCAAGTTTATTCTGAGTTTCTCTTCAAGAATGATCATAAGTTGTGGTGACAAGATGTTTCACATAGCGACCATGGCCTTTAATTAAGGATTGAAGGGAAGTAAGGTTGTAAATCTCTGATAGTGTGATTTTCCACTTAGCAACCAAGCTGTCTATTTAAATTGTGGTTTTTAAGCGAGGACTACTTGTATGAATCATATTGATAAATATCATCCATGCAAGCAAAAGCTGTTTTGAGGTCTTCCATAATTTTTAGAAGTGGGAAGGGGTCCTGAGACAGAAACATTTGTATTAGATTGTAAGAGCTGGGGCCTCTCAAATGTTTACAGATTTATGTAATGGACAATGCTAGATCAATTAATAATTACAGTAAGTTTATTTGCTATAGTTAATAAAAATTACATTTGCATGCTTAATTTTTCTTTTGATATCTTCATATACTGCAGCAATATTTTGGTACGTTTGCAAACCAAAGCTCTAATGAATGTTATGGCAGAAATACATACTTTGATTTAATACTTTCTTAAATTTGTTCATTTTAAAATTGACACATGTCCATCTTCGTAGGATGAATATTGAGTGAGATTGTATAAGAGTTTTATTTTCTTTCTCTCTAGGTTTCTCCAGTCTTTTCTCTTTTATCACTTATATCTTCTGCTGGTGAATTAATATAGCTGAATACAGTATGAGATTCATGCTGAGACTATAGGAAGGCAATTTAACTTATATGTGGTATCACTATTACTGTATATCTTTCCAACTGCAGTCTTCAACTCTACTGAATGTATCATATGTGGTTTTTTAAAAAAAGAAGTACTAAAATATTTCATGGTATGAAGAAGGCAAAACATTCTGTTTATGGAGTGAAGTTTTAGAATCCAAGCCATTATTCTTATCTTGATTGGCATCACATATTGTATAGGGTTTCCATAAATTGTGGTTTAACTTGTTCGTGTTTTGCCTAGCTGTTTATTTAAATTATGTTATGTTTTTTTTTGTAGGAGATAATTGAATTCCCCATCCTGAAGCTGAATGGCAGGACAATGGAGATTGAATCTACTTTCCATATGTATGTGCAACCAGTGGTGCATCCTCAGCTCACACCTTTCTGTACTGAGGTAAAGTTCTTTTTCTTCTGAGACCTTAATGTTATCTTACAGTTTCTCTAGAAAGATCTGAAATGCTGGCAATTCTTCTATCTGTTCATAAAAAAAATGATTAAGTCTCTAAAGGTCTTCATTGTTTTGGTTATAGTAAAAATACGTAATTGGGTATCTAGACTCCAGTATATTTTAAGTGGTTTAAACAACTATGATTTTAATAAAGTTGAAAGTAAGGAATTACAAGACTGAACTTGCAGTCTTTGCAAGACTGAAATTATATGTTTCATAGTCAAATTCAACTTATCATGCCCCATTATCTGCATTCAACATATTATTCCCATTTGTTCAGTTATTTTCCTGATGCTGCTTACTTCTGTGAACAAGGCAATATTGAAATGATAGATATGTCTATTTTTCATAATAATCTATGAATAATTTGATAAGGGGAACATATATCCCATATTCTAAAACCATGTTGTAAAGGAGGGAAGAAAGAATAGAAATTGAGACAACCTGTGGAAGCTGTATTTGTGAAAAATGGGACCATCTAATCTGGCTTCCCCACTGGCTTCGTTTGTCAGAAGATCAAAAAAGTGTATCTCATCTCCAGGACAGTGCAACTGTCATAAATATGAACCAGTTGCCAAGGATCCGAATCTTGATCATGTGACCATGGGGGTGCTTCAGTGGTCGCCATAAGTCCCTTTTTTGAGTGCCATTGTAACTTTGAATGGTCACTAAAAAAAAGATTGAAAGTTGAAGACTACCTGTATATGCAATTAGTTTAGTTCCAAAGCAAAAACACAATATTTTGCTTTCCTCTTTCTTGTACATATTTTCTTCTTGTTCTTGTAAGATTTTAGTTTCCTGTATAAATAGCTGTTTACAGTAATCTCCCTTTCTCTCCTTGCTCTGCATATGTTTCTTCAACAGGACAGGTATTTACTAAATGCTAGGAAAAGGTTTTGTCTCTGCCCTTCTACTTATAGAAGTCAGCTTTATAGATCTCTTTGTTTGCAGAGAAAGACCAGGTCTGATTATCTGATGGCATGCCAGAGACAAGTGCTTATTGTAATCAGGAAACTGTCTTGGATTAGAAATACGAGTGTGCATTAGATAAACACCATAGGAAAATCCATTTTGTTGGCATTGTCTTGGAGATTGCTTGGTTCTCTGCTCTTCTCTATCTTTTCTTTTTCTATTGGACGTAACTGTTATGGCAAATTTACCAATTGTATTCTATTGTTTAACTTTCTTCAATTATTTGAAAAAGTATAGCCTCATCCCTGCAGGATTAAGCAATGTATTTTTCTGGAGTGCACTTGAACTAGAAGGTGAATCTACGTTTTGTAATGATGCTTCTTTTATCACACATGAGGCTAGAAATACTATTCCAACAGGGGAAGCAGGAAGGCTTAGTATCTTTTTTCCCTCATAGTATATTCCATGTATGAAAGAATGTCAAACTTGCTTTCTTAACTGCTCTCAAAGCTAAGAGAGAAGAACTTCTTTTTTTTTCTAATAATTTTTATTTATTTATTTTTTGTTACATAAACAACACATGCCCACACCAGTGGGGAAAAAAAAATCAAAACACAAAAAAGACAAAAAACAAGGCAGAGAAAANGCATCTTCACACTTGTGTATTGGTCAGAATCTGCATTCGGACAAAGGGGAGGCGTCATTATCATCTTAATCCCATTTGCATGGCCTAAAGGTTTTCAGATGCTGCTTTGCTTCTAATGGTTTCCATCCTGACTGATTAAAGGTTCCTTTTGAAAAAATCCATTTCAAGACTCTTTACTTTCTCAAGTTAGGAGAGGAGCCATTACACTGAGCCTCGCTATTCCATTATGTAATCTGGCACAGGTGAAACCTGAAACCAATGCAGACACGCTCGAAAGCCCTGCTACAGGTCTAGCATAGTTGCAAGCTCCCAGATTACTCCTTTCTTTTTCTTTTGATGGAGCAGAATCCTCAAGTCACTAGGCTAGTCCCATGCTTGGCACTCATGCTGGATTCGCCGCTATTTGTGTGGCAGTCTTAAGTGACTGACTGCCGCCATGGCGATTTGGAGAAACCAGGAGCCTGGCATCTTAATAATCCAGCACCTCCCACTCAAATATATCAAGTGGAAGTAAAAATTATGATCTGCAGCTAACACTAATAGTCTACTTTCAGGAAGAGCCTGTGGAGTTATGCTGGCCCAAATCTAAGCTTCCTTCAGGCAGGGCCTTAAGCTGCTGCTCAGGGAAAACTCACTGCATAAAAGGGAGCGAACTTACCAATGGCTGAATGAGCAAATAATATGGAATGTTTCAGCGGCTTAACACCCCCCCCCCCTTGCAGAAGTGCACACTGCTGAAAGCCTGGAATTCTCAGACCAGCTGGAAATTCAATATTCAAGGGGCTGTAGAGCTCTGTACTAGCTGCCAAGGCACGCGCCAGAAATGTTGAGAAAACGCTGTCTTCCAAAGCCCTCCCTGGTCTCAAAAGTCCTGATGCTGTCGGCTCAAAGAACGCTAAATTGCTCACTGCGGCTCTTTCTTAAAAGGGATTCTGACAATTGGCTTCCTAGTGCTCTAATCGCGGCTCTTGCTGAGGGCACAAAATACTCCTCTTCCTGCAGCCCTGCTCGGCTTCAAAGGCCATTTGCCACCTTAGTTTTGAAAAGCACGAAAGCACCTGCTACAGTTCTTTTGAAATGCACTAACCCCTCTCTTGCTCTTTTAATATCTCCTAAGACCTTGCTATCTAGTCATAACCAGGGAATCAAATACAGATAAAATTAACCAACTTTTTCCTCAGGATCCTTTAGCTGTGGGGAAAAAAATGTCCAAATGAGCTGAGAGTGAGTTGAAAGACTGAGGAACATTACCAGGGAGGCGTGTCTTCAGAATTTCAACTCAGTCAACAGAGCAAATAGACATGAATAACCTATTCTGGACTCTCACGCCGATCCACTGGGGATGTCTCAGTCACCCTCCAGTCCAGTGCAAATTGCCATGCTCCAGGATACTCTAGCATCACAGAGCAAAGCCAGAGAGAGCTTCAGGAAGCACAAAGGGGCTTCCTATAGTACCATGGTTGTGGGGCTGCAAGAAACCTGAACTGTTGTGCAGGGTCAAGCTCAGCTGCAGACTGGTCCAGTAGCATTGTACAAAAGGTTTCTTGTCATATTCTGACTATGTGGCTTCTTGCAGCCCTTGAGCTGCAGTGCAGTCCAAAGTCCAATGAAAACATGGAAACTTTTGAGCAGGAAAGCTAAAAGAAAGGAAAGCTAACATCATGGGTAGTAGAGATGAAGCAGAGCAGCTAAATATGACATGTTAATGTAAAGCTTAAAAAAGCCAAAGAAAATTATTGGAATGAACATTGCAAAAAAAAAAAAAAAGGAAGAAAAATAACTAGACCTTTTTTACCCCAATAAAGAAAATCTGGATACCATTCACCACATTCCAAAGAAAAGTAAGGAACAGAAATGGGAAAGAACTGAATGATGTTATGCAAATAAAAAACATATGGAAGAAATATACTGAAGTATTACATATGACAGGTTATGTTTTTCAACTATATAAATAATAGAAATCTGTGTGGGAGACCTATATTGGAAGACAAAGTAATATGGCGAAGGAATCAACTGACCAAGAGAAAAGTCCTTGGGATCAATGGTATTCCATCAGAACTGATTAAATTAGAACCAAGAGCAGGAATGACAAAATGATTCCAAAAATATAATTATTTATGAATGATTGAAAGACTGGAAAAAGCAGGGTGGATTTGATTTAAATCAAGTAGATTTAAATCATGATGTAAATCCTGATTTAAATCACTAATAAAAAGATTTGATTTAAATCAACTCGATTTAAATCATACCGTATTTTTCGGAGTATAAGACGCACCCTTTTTTCTCAAAGAGGCTGAAAATCTGGGTGCATCTTATACACTGAATACAGCATTTTTGCCTCCTGAAGCCCCGCCCCTTCACCAAAATGGCCAGGCATAGCTTGTAGGTAGCTTTTAGAAAGCTTCTGGGGGCTAGGGAGGGCAGAAATGAGCAAAAACCAGCCCGTTTTTTGCTCACTTTTACCCCACCCACCCCCCTGGCAACCCCCAGGAGCACTCTGTGCTTCCAAAAGGCTATCCATGGCCTTCTTTTTATGAAAAATGGGCCGGTTTTGGTGAAAAATGGGCCGGTTTTTGCTCATTCCCCCCCCCCCGAGCACCCTGCAACCTAAATGCTATTCATGCCTTTGGGGGGGGATGGGCCCGTTTTCATTAAAAATTGGCTATTTTGGGGAGGTTTACAGAGTGCAAAAACTTATTTTTTATTTGCCTCTTCAAAACCTTGGTGCGTCTTATACTCTGGTGCGTCTTATACTCCAAATAATACAGTAATTTTTAAATAACAACTGTTATCTCAGTCCTGCATGGCTCCTGTGACCCGTTGTTTATTTATTTAATATTTTTTTATTTTTTTGTTAAACAACACATGCCCACAACAGTGGAGGGGGGAAATCAAAACACAAAAAAGAAAAAAAAGAAAAAAAAAGAAAAAAAGCAGAGAAAAAAACAAAAAAACCCACAAGTATATGTTATAAAAAAGTATATCAGCTGGTTACAACATGTTTTTGTGCATCTCTTCCATTAATTCCTATTAATTCAAATATCTTAAGTCAAATGTTTACCATATTAACATCATCATACCTCCACTTTTAGTTGACTACAGTTGTTTAAAACATCCTTCATCCTTAAGTATGCCAAAGATTTAATCCATAACCACATGCTAGCATTTCATTTACTTGTTTATAAAATCCTCCATTAACATCAAATCCTCATATCCTGTTTTAGCTAAACATCCATAATATTTAATACCAAAAATTCCATCCTCCATGTATATAGTTTATTATCATACTCCTTTCTTTATGTAATTATATCGTATATCGTAGCAGTTTCCCAATATTAGTTAAGATTTAACTGTATATAGTTTTATTTTATTTTTTAATAGTGATAAT